AGACCCAAACATTTTAGTTGCTGGAAAAGGAATTGAAAAATTAAAAAAAGTAGGCATTGAAGTAATAACAGGAATTTTAGAAACTGAAGGCAAAAGTATAATTGAAAAATTCATACAATTTCATCAAAATAGGAAATCATATATTACATTAAAATATGCAGAAAGCATAGATGGTTTTTTAAGTAAAATGAATGAACAAACTAAAATTAGCAACGAAATAACAGATAGATATGTTCATAAATTGAGAGCAGAGCAACATGCTATTTTAATAGGAAAAAATACTTTAGATATTGATAATCCAAGTTTAAACACAAGATTATACAATGGGAAAAATCCAATAAAAATAATACTTTCAACAAGTGCTCAGATAAAATTAGATGCTAAAATCTTTGAAGACAAACAAACTCCAATCTTAATTGTTAATCAAGAAATAGATAAAATAACAGATAATGTAAAATGGTTAAAAGTAAATGACATTTATAATTTAGATGAGGTATTGTCTGTTTTGTATCAAGAAAATATACAATCCGTTTTAGTAGAAGGTGGAGCAACAGTTTTAAATCAATTTATAGCACAAAATAAATGGAATCAAATTATAAGAATTATTGGGAAAAATAAAATAGAAAATGGAATACAAGCACCAAATACTATCAATAAAGAAAATGAAATATTCAGCATAAATACTGATAAAATAATAAAATACATAAATAATAACTATTAATTAAATAGAAATGAATAAAATACAATCTGAAATCTTATTTGAAAAAGCAAAAAAACTAATGCCAGGTGGTGTAAATTCTCCTGTACGCGCATTTAAATCTGTTGGAGGCACACCAATTTTCTTTAAAAAAGGTAAAGGCTCTAAAATATATGATGAAGATGGCAATACGTATATAGATTTTTGCAATTCGTGGGGTCCATTAATTCTTGGACATTGCAATGCAGCAATAGAAAATGCAATAATTGAAACTGTAAAAAATGGGACTACTTTTGGAGCACCTACTGCCTTAGAAAATAAATTAGCTGAATTAATTATATCCAATCATCAATACATAGAAAAAATAAGATTTGTAAGTTCTGGCACAGAAGCTGTGATGAGTGCTTTACGCTTAGCACGGGGCGTTACAGGAAAATCAAAAATTATAAAATTTGAAGGTTGCTATCATGGACACACAGACGCATTGTTGGTAAAAGCTGGCTCTGGCTTAATTACATTTGGCACATCAAGCTCGGCTGGTGTACCAGAAGCATTTGCCAACGAAACTATTGTGTTGCCATTAAATGATGAACAAAAATTAGAAGAAACCATTACTGCACTACACCAAGAAATAGCAGCTGTCATTATAGAACCTATTCCTGCAAACAATGGTCTACTATTGCAAAGCAAAAAATTCTTATTTCATTTACGTGAATTATGTGTAAAATTCAATATTTTATTAATCTTTGATGAAGTTATCTCAGGATTTAGAGTAGGATTTGAAGGTGCATCTGGCTTGTACGAAATAGGTGCAGACATCTACACATTTGGAAAAATAATTGGTGGCGGAATGCCTGTTGGTGCTTATGCTGCATCAAATAAAATAATGAGTCATGTGGCTCCAGAAGGTGCCGTATATCAAGCAGGAACTCTAAGTGGAAATCCTGTGGCAATGGCTGCTGGCATTGCACAATTGCAACAATGTTTAGTTCCAAATTTTTATAAAACATTACAAGAAAAAACGGAACAATTAGTTGATGGAATTAATCAACATATTCATTTAAAAAAATATGAATGTCATTTATATAATATTGGCTCCATTTTTTGGATAACATTTTCTAAAGAAACTCACATTAATAGTGCAGATAAAATTGATGGAAGTAAGATGCAAATATTTAATAAATTATATAATTATTTATTAGAAAATGGTATTTATTTTGGTCCATCAGGATATGAAGTAGGTTTTGTTTCTGCTGCACACAGCGAGGAAGATATTAAGCAAACCATTGATGTATTCTCGGCTGGCTTAGACCTTGCTTTTAGTTAACTAAAGCATGACACATTTCTATATTTTCTCTGAAAATACTTTTATACCGATTATGTTTTCAATATAGTCCAATAATCGTTTCACTCAATTGTACTATTTTCAAAATATATCGGCATTAACCATTCTATAATTATTATTTAGATTGGACTAAATAATAATTAGAATTGGTATTATTTTCTACATCATTATTTTGCAACATAAATATATTCTCACATTGTGCTTGTACAAAATATAAATATAAAAATAGCTTATAAAATAAAAAATACTTCATTAAAATCTATATAAAAAACTAGGCGATATAACAGCTTTTCTTGTTAAACCATCAGGTCTTTGTTCTCTAACTAACAATGGCATCCCAGCTGTTAAGCCAAACTCAATTTTATCATTTAATCTGTAATTGATTAGTGCTGTTAGGTTCAATGTAATTCCTTTGGAGCCAATGATGTCATATCTTAAAGACTCAT